AAAATATATGTTAAAATATATAATATTATCTTTATTTTAATATAAAAATAAAAATTATTTATTAGTAAAATTAAAAACTTTTATATAAAAAAAATTTTATATTTTTTATATTTTTATTATATTTTATTAATAAATTTTTTTGCATTATATTAATTTTAATTATTATTATATTTTTTGTTTTTATATTAAAATAAAGCTAAAAAATCTATATTTTAGAATTATAAAGTTAATTATACAAATTTTTTATAATTAAAATTTATATAATTAATTTTATAATCTGAAATATTCTTGAAATTAAAAATAGAATATATAATATTATTATATACTTAATAAAAATAAAAATTTTATTATAAAAAAAATAATTTCAGTTTTTATTATATTTTATTATTTTTTTGAATTTTCAGTAATTTATTATAGAATATATAGAATATTTTAGTTATAAAAATATTAAATTATTTTATTTATATATTTGTATTTTAATTAGATATATTATCAATTTATTTACTTTATTTAAATTTCTAATTTTTGATATAATTACATTTTTTTGAGCTTTTAAACAAAAGTAATTAATATAAAATTTAAAGATAAGTTACTTATTACAAAAAATATAATTATTTTAATAAAAAATAAGTAATTATTGATTTGAACTATGATTTAAATTATCAGTTTGAACCAGTTTTAATGAAATTAAGATTATATTTTTTATAAAGTTATTAATCAAAATTATAAATTATATTATTATAAATTAAATTTGTTATTAAAAATAATAATAAATTTTATAAAAATAGTTAGCAATTTTATTTAAATTACTATAAATTACATAAATCACAAAATATGTTTAATTTTAATTATTTTAATTATAACTTTTTAGACAATAATCAAAAAAACTTGAAATTTTAATATAATATTTTGTAATATAATATATTTCAATATACAAGCTTAAAATATAAAAACATGATTTTTCATTAATTTTTCACTATTAATAAAGTTGTAATAACAATATTTTTTGTGCAAATTATATTATTTTTTGAAATATTATATGCTAATATATATATATTAATTATAAATAATTAAAAAAAACTTGAAATTCTAGTATAATATATTTCAAAATGTTAAATTTATATACTTAAAATAATATTAATGCAAGTTTTTTTATTAGATTTTTCGTGAAAAAGTTTTTTCAGAAAGTATATATAAAAAATATATATAATATTTAAAAATTATAATTTTATATATAAAAATTAGTTTGAAATAATTCTTTGAATATTTTTTAATAGATTTTTTCATATGCTAAAACTTGAATAATAGTAATTTAACAATTGCTTCAAGTATAATTTAATCACTTATTGCTATTAATGAAATTGCAATTTTTATCAGATATTAATTGCTGATATTTTCTATAGTCAAACCTCCATATAGTCATTCCATATAATTACAAAATCAATATACAGTAAAAGCTGGATACGATAACGTGATCGGGGGAAGAGATTTGGTGTTATTATAATGAGATGTTACTTTATCGAAAAAATAAATACAATGAAAGCTTATTACAGTAATGAGATCGGGGGAAGAGATTTTGTGTTATTATAACAAGATGTTATCTTAAAGGGTGTTACTGTAACGAGCGCTCACTGTAGTCACATTTTTTCAGTTCCCAAACATAATTATAAGAAATTTGACCTCCATATAGTCACGACCTCTTTATAATCACAGTTTTTCATTGATTATGAGGAGGTCAGACGTGTCTCAAATTAACTTCATTTAGATCTTTATCATTAATGCAATTGATACATATTTATTCTTATATTTTTTTGTAAAGAAATCACTAAATTTGGATTACACCAAATGATAATGATAATACTGCTTTTCAAGGGTTTCTTTACATTTATTAGAAGTGCAAGAACATGCACCTTTTTTTTAGTGTTCTCAAAATTGCTGATAATTGGCTATTTTGTTGTATGTGTATATGTATGCATGCATGAGTCCATTTCGACTTGTCCATACCAGAAACGGGTTTATCTATTCGAGTATTGTATGTTATAACAATATATATATATATATATATATATTAGTAATGAAAACGAACTCCTGTTTGAGTGGCAGACTATTCAGAAAGACTCAAAAAAGCACATTATCGCTGTTCTCCAATTCGTCTCGCCTGGCCAGACTTCCTTCTCTCCTGTATTTTTTGCTTGCATAAAGTGCATAAACGTGTGTATTTACTATTGAAAGGATCTCCAACTACCAAAAGGATGTAGAACCGTATAGATAAATAAATACTTAAATAGTCGCGTGTTACATTCCACACAATCTCAAATACATCTAAAGCGCAGCCACACACTTGTTTTGTTAAATTTGTTTAATGTTTAAATTTAATCTGATAAAGAAAATAAAAATTTATCATTATTGTCATCACCCCTTTTCAAAAACTTTAAATTCAGGCCGTTTCCCTTTATCTGTTTCTTTTCTCCTTCACTACCAAACGTACTCTGTCCCTATAATTATTTATTACTTATATATATATTCGTAGAAAATAGATCAACCATCATCATGTGCGGTATTTTTGCTTATCTTAATTATCTTGTAACCAAAGACAGAAAGACTATCGTCGATACTCTTGTGAGCGGATTGGCTCGTCTTGAATATCGAGGTTATGACTCTGCTGGTGTTTCTGTCGATGGTGATACCACCGAAGAAGTACTCATTTATAAACAAGTCGGAAAAGTAGCAGCCCTCAAAAAATTAATATCCGAGCAAAAATGCGACTTTGGCAAAGAATTCGTTAGTCATTGCGGTATGGCTCATACACGTTGGGCTACTCACGGTGAACCTTCCCCAACCAACTCTCATCCCCATCGCTCAGATCCTAATAACGAGTTCACAGTTGTACACAATGGCATCATTACAAACTATAAAGAACTCAAGACTGTTCTCGAAAATAAAGGTTACAGGTTCGAATCAGAAACAGACACTGAAGCTGTTGCAAAATTAGCAAAATATTTGTATGATTCACAAAAAGATAATCAAACTTTGAGCTTCACCGCTCTTGTAAAAGGAGTTATTAAGGAATTAGTAAGTTTCTTTACTCCATTCCATGCTTCGAGTATTTGATACACAATTAACAAATATTTTCTTGGATCCTTTAATTAGGAAGGTGCTTTTGCACTTATTTTCAAAAGTATTCATTTCCCAAATGAAATTGTTGCCACTCGTCGAGGTTCCCCGTTATTGGTCGGTGTCAAAACCGAAAAGAAATTGAAAGTTGACTTTGTCGACGTAGAATTTGGAGCAGGTAGAATTTTCTCCTTCTCAAAATTAATTTCACGTGTAATGTCACCTAATTTCTTTGTTATACGTTACACGCTCTAGAGGAAAAAGTTCCCGCTCCTGCAAATCTTTTAGCTCCGCCTAGCGCCGAAGGTCATCCAAAACTCCGACGTAGCCAATCACGTGCTTTCCTTAGTGAAGACGGATTACCGCAACCTATTGAATTTTTCCTTGCTTCTGATCCTTCGGCAATTGTTGAACATACCAAACGTGTGCTCTATCTTGAAGATGATGATATCGCTCATATTAGCGATGGAGGTAAAAAAAGATTAATTATCTATATTTTTGAAACTGAATTACCAATTCTTTTCTTAATAAATTTATTATGATAATAGAATTACATATTCATCGTCTTCGACGAGATGATGGCATGCCCTCTGTTCGCTCTATTCAAACATTGGAAATTGAACTTGCCGAAATTATGAAAGGACGATTCGATCATTTTATGCAAAAAGAAATTTACGAACAACCTGAGTCGGTTGTCAACACAATGCGTGGTCGCGTCAATTTTGAGTCACATAAAGTTACTCTTGGAGGTTTGAAGGCTTACCTGGCTACTATTCGTCGTTGTAGACGTATTGTTTTCTGTGCATGCGGAACGAGTTATCATTCTTGCGTTGCCGTAAGTTTTATTTTGTAAATATTTATATTTTTTATAACCTATTATACAAGATCCAACAAGAAAATCTTTTCTCTATTATTCTTATTATGATAGACTCGTGCAATTTTTGAGGAATTGACTGAAATCCCAGTCTCGGTTGAACTTGCTAGCGATTTTTTGGATAGGAAAACGCCAATTTTCCGAGATGATGTCTGTGTATTTGTATCACAATCTGGAGAAACTGCTGACACTATTCTCGCTCTACGGTATTGTCTTGAACGTGGTGCTCTATGTCTCGGTATTACCAATACTGTGGGCTCAACCATTTCACGTGAAACTCATTGCGGTGTGCACATTAATGCTGGTCCCGAAATTGGAGTTGCATCAACAAAGGTTAATTTGTTTGTTACAGAATATATTCTATATCGTGTTTACATTTATTTAATTTTGAATTTTCTGAATTCTAAAACAATAGGCGTATACTTCACAATTCATTGCCTTGGTAATGATGGCTATTCAATTAAGTGAAGATCGCTCATCAATGACTCAACGACGAAATGATATAATCGACGAACTTTACAAATTATCGGATCACATCAAAGCAGTACTTAACTCCGACAAAGAACTCCAACAACTCGCCAAAGAGGTTTTATACAAAGAAAAAAGTTTATTGATTATGGGTCGTGGATTCCAGAATGCCACTTGCCTTGAAGGTGCTTTGAAAATCAAAGAGGTTTCATATATGCATTCAGAGGGAATATTAGCTGGTGAATTGAAACACGGTCCATTGGCTCTTATCGACGAAAATATGCCTGTAATTTTAATTATGACCAAAGATTCTTTGTACCCGGTATTTTTTTCTTTTTGATTATTCTTTATTTGTTTTTACTTATATAAAAATATTTACGAATCTTATCTCCTTTTTTTTTAAAATAATAGAAAGTACAAAGTGCCCTTCAACAAGTGACGGCTCGAAAGGGTCAACCAATCATTATTTGCAACGACGATGATGATGGCATTTCAAAACAATATAAAACTATTCGAATTCCACAGACTGTTGACTGTCTGCAAGGTCTTCTTACAATTATCCCGTTGCAACTTCTTTCATATCACTTGGCTGTATTGCACGGTGTCGATGTCGATTTCCCAAGAAATTTGGCCAAATCGGTAAGAAAAATTATTCATAAATTTTATTTTTGTCTTGTTTTACTCATTTTTTAATTGTATAATTTTATGATTTCAGGTAACGGTCGAATAAATCAAACCAATCATCAAAAATAATTAGTTTTTATTTAATCTTTTTTGTTTTAATTTAATATCTATTTAATAAAAAAGAATTTTTGAATATTACTCGTACTAGTTAACGAATAAAGGTCTGCTTAAAGACATACTATTTTTTTTTTCAAAGAATTTAAATGTAAAAAAATACGTTATTTAATAGTTTTTGATCAGTAACGTATTTTATTTTAAAGTTTTATATATTTTTAGAGAAGGTACAATTTTTAAATTAAAAATTTCAGCGTTAATATGGTAATTATCTGCAATTTTTTTAGCGCCTGATGTGACTAAGCTGTTTGCGCCATGTCGATATTTAAGTATGGGCTGATTTGACTCCCAAAACAATTGAGATTTGGTCCAGTTTTGATTAATAAAATTTGTTTCCACTTATCTAGTAGTATAAAAAATAAACTCGAAAAGTTCTTTTGTGCATAGCTCCCGTGCATGCAACACTAAACCCCTTTATCTTTATATTGAAAATGTGCGCATATAAATAAAAAGAGAGGAAGGCTGATAACAGTTCCGCTGTTATCGAAAATGGGTCAATTTCGCAAATTTAATATATTGATTTTGTTCATAATTGTTATCTCACTTAATGGTGTTCTATCATATGGTTGGGTTGGTAAGTGAATACAAAATCTGTCTGATATATATGAAGAGATATCTAGAGATTAACCAGACATTTTCCCTAAAAAGGCCACCAATTAACAGCAGCTATAGCTCAACGTTTTCTTACCCCTCGTGCACAACGTGCTATAATAGAATTACTTCCACCAGAAGCGAACGGGAGCTTATCCGCGTATTGACACTTTATTTCTTCTCGTTAATATTACACTACGCTGACAAATTGACTGATTCTGTTAATAATTATCAATTGAAGAATTGCTCATTGGGCTGACACGATTAGATCAAAACCCCACTATCGATTTTCCACGCGACTTCATTTTTGGAATCCCGCTAACGATAATCCACCAGAAACGTGCTCTTGCGCTTGGATACCCGGCAGGTACGATGTGATCACAGCGATTTATAATTACTCCCATCGATTGGATCCCAAAACTGGCCTGGAATATACACAGCAGGCAGAAGCTTTAAAATTTTTAGTGCATTTCCTGGGTGATTTGCATCAACCATTACATTGTAACTATCTTTATAAATGAATTTTTTTTATGTAGAAATATTTGAATGATTAATTATTTTTATACTTAGTGACTACAAAATTAAAAGGAGGAAATGGAGCAATCGGTAAAATTATTTTTTAAATCGATTTCTTTGTTGAAGTATTTACTAAGCTATATCTTTGTATTTTTCTTTTATTAGCGAGATTTGATAATCGTAAAACTAGCTTGCATACGATATGGGATTCACGTTTGATTTGTGTAAGATATTTTTGTTACATTCAATTTCTAGTATGTAAGTGCGTTTGTCTAATATTTTATTTTTATGCGAATAGAAACAAATATGTAAAATAATACTGGGTACAGACTCAGTAAATACCGAAGAACACTTTAAGGATTCTGGTGATGACAATGATGATGGTCTTGGTGATGAGGAGGAGGAGGAGGAGGAGGATGATGATGATGATGACCACCTTCCAAATCTCAAACCAAAACCGCCCAACTCAAAATTACCAAAACTCCCAAAATGTCCCAAATGCGAACTTAACACTGAATATGTGGATAAAATTGTATCCTTGATTGATATAAGATGGAATGAGGAAAAATCCGAATGGATTAAATGTCCTAATAAATTTAATCTATTATCCAAAAAAGACAATTCTCACGTTCGGGTAGACTTTTTCCAATATGATCGAATTTCTTTTTCTCCTCCGCGACGTAGACCAATAAGACCACCGTTTCCTATCCCGGAGGTGCCAGATTCCATTTGTCCCAATTATTGGGCAATCGACCTGAAGAAATTGAATTGCGAGATCATGTGGAAAGGTTATGATCCCGATATCGATTATGGTCATGGAAAATTTTACGATGCCTTAATGGAATCACAACTTGTTGAAAAGCTGTTGGCGATGGCTGGCATTAGAATGGCTGCTATTTTAAATACCATTTTGACATAGCATTTTTTCGTTATCGTTATTGACTATATTTTTAACATATAATGTATAACTTGTAAGGTACTCGGAATTTATTGGAGAAAAAATTAAAGTTATGTTACATATCTTTTATCACGCACACACATAATTTATCCTCAAAAAATATTCACGACTCATTTAAGACACGCGCAGTATGTGTATTTATTTATGAGATCGCTTGATCTTCCTAAACTTAAAATGCAAATATTGAATCTGTGCCCAGTTTGGGATCGCATTTCTGGAATGTGTGACATGTTGGTGGCGCAGCCACAATTACCCAAAAGTTTATTAGTACTCCAGGTTAGATTTGAACATTCATTTTCGCTTTTCATTTTCTTTTGTGTCGGATTTGTTTTGTCGGACTGATCATATTCTTATTGGTTTGACGCTACCCGGCATTTTATCACCTGTCACACATTCCAGGAGTGCGTTTGGGATTCGATATGAGATTATATGTAAATTGTCTCACCGAAATTTTGATTAGTATTAGATTTAGATTTAGGGATTTAGGCATCTGTATTTTTCACATTTGTGTCAGCTTACCTTGAAAAAATGGATAATTAATTGACCAATGAGGTGGCGCAAATTTTTATCTGCTGGCAAAACAAATCCGAAAAATACTGCCTAAATCTAGTTTGAAGCACTAATTAAAAATGTCGGGGAGCCAGTTTTACGTATAATCTTGGCTCTAACTCTAGTCTGACCCTAACTCTAATCCGTCCAAATCAAAAATTGTGTTTCCTGGCAAATATATCCGGCTACCATTTTCGGGGGGGGGGGGGGGGGAGGTCAAAGCGGAGTAGTTTCACTAATTATCAAATTCATTGGAAATTTTGCTCGATAAGGTGCTAGCTTCAAAGATCAAACTATATCTGAAATTTCGCGCTGAGCATTCAGTTCCCTTTTTGTGATGAAAAATAGAGTAGGAGTAAAACTTTCTTTTTTTACTTGGAGGTGCTAGTTGCTATAGTAAAATTTTGAGTTATTTGTTGCGTATCTTAATACATGCTAATTTATATGTTACACCTGATCTTTGCAATTGGATTGGTCTATTTACACGTGACTACCAATTTATAACAAAGACAGAAGTTGATTATAGTAAAATCCACCTCAATAAACCAAATTTTCTACTCGTAATTGTCGCCTTTGTACATATACTCCCACTGTTTCCGAGAAAATTATGGTATTAACAGCTTACATGTTTATTTGTATCAACAGCAATTACCTATAATAGAGATAGACCGCATTTAGCGTTCACAGACAACAAAAACATGTTTTGATCCAGCACGAACTCTCGCACGATATGAGAAGGTTTTCTATTTTTAAATATTTTTGTGATAGACAAGCGATATTCATCACGCGAACTTAATATTACAAGGTTTTTTTTTATTCCGAATTCGCAGATTACCAGTATGAGCAAATAAATTACAGGTTTTACCTATATATCATATCCTGAATCCATATACAACCCCTTTCGGATGTTTACCGTATTGAAGCCACCCGAGTATACACACATTCACTGAACTATTTTTAACAGATTCGGTAAAGTACGGTACAATTATACTCTATACCGATATGTATCCTGAATTGTCTCCATATACCATAAATTTCCCACCCCACAATCCTCACTAGATATTAGCGTCTATACATTCAGCTTCTTAGCTTTCTTTAGTTCTAACATTCATTCAGCTTCATATTTTTCTTTAGTTCCAGTAATATCTTTTTAAATAACATGATTAGATAAGATGACAATGAACAACAAAGAAATATGCAGATGAAGATTTGCAAAGTGGGGAAAATACTAAATTGGAAGAATATGATAAGGAGTTTACGGGGAGACTTGTAAATATTTTGTTGTTCTTCATACATATTCACTCACATGCGTAATCAGTGGCTGATCAAATAATGTTGTAATGTTATTTAGTCGGTAGTTTATCAAAGACTGAATTAAGGTTTTGAGTGGGTAAGTCAGATGTTCCTATGACTTCACCCCTCATCCTTCCATTCATTGCAATTTTTTTTTTCAATAAATATCGATCAAGTTGTGAAAAAAAATGCAAAAAGAAAATGATTATGTCACTCCAACAAAATTTTGATGACTTCTCCGCGTTCCACGAACACGTAATAAATAGACTTAAGAAGCAAGAAAACTTTTCCACGTCTGCTGTAACCCTTACTACCTCTACTTCTAATGCAAACGACAAAAGAAAAGAAAAGCCTATTATTAATAACAAAGTTATAGTTTGCAAAAGAAATAGCAATAAATATTGGTTCGGAATTACACCCTCGGGTCTACTTGAACATGCCGCTTTGCTCACCTCCCAGGCAACTTTATTGACTGCTAATTTCTTAGCACACCATTTAACGGGTCCGAGAAGACCTTCATGGCCCGTACAAGTCACGTTAATGTCCTCTTTTATGAGAAATCTTTCGAAACATACGCACCTTGCTAGCGTACAACTACTACGCCGTGTTACCGAGGTTCCTAATCCCTTAATACCCTCAGATATTGTTGTCACCCCTGTGACTTTCCCTGTTTATAATCGCGGATTATGCGATATTCTAAGGGAACATGATCAAAAAGAAAACGGAACACGTGAAATTGACGGTGAATGGGTAGTGCCAAAAACTTTATTGAGTAAAATCAATCATGAATTTCAAATGAACTCTTCAAACCAAAAACTCTTTTGGATTGATGAGAATAATGTGAAATGGTCAAACGAAAAAGTTATTTTGGCTATTCACGGTGGTGCTTATTATTTAATGTCAACTAGAACACATCGAGATTTAAACTATCGATTATCAAAGTCAACAGGAAGAAGAGTGTTTGGTAAGTAATGACTCACTCATATTATTCTACTCATTCAATTGATTAATTTCTCCGAACTAATCCATCATTATCTTTCAATTGCTTGATTTTTCCGAACTAATCCATTATCTATCTTTCAAAAGCCATTAATTATAGACTAGCTCCCGAAGGTCCATTCCCTTGTGGCTTCCATGATGTTGTACATTCATATTTGTATTTGACCGATCCGAATGGGCTAGCAATTCAACCTCAAAATATTGTAGTAGCAGGAGATAGTGCTGGTGGTGGTTTAAGTAAGTTGAAGCTAATGTCAATTTGTATCAAAAAAAACACGAGATATTTACATCTGGGTCTTTCTTTAATAATAGCTTTGGCTCTATTATTCTATCTTCGGGATCATGGAATGCCACTTCCTGGAGGAACATTATTATTTTCGGTAATTTATTTCTTTATATATTTATATTTTATATCAATCATTAAATCAATCATTAAATTAATTTTTAATAAACTAAATAGCCATGGGTTGATCTGACAATGAGTTGCTCTAGTTGGGAACTTAATAAACCGTACGATATTGTTTTTAAACCAGCAGACGAAGATCCATTACATCCAGCAAGACTTTACCTGGATCCTTTCGAGGAACGATCACATCTACTCACTCATCCTTATGTGTCGCCATTGTTTGGTGATATGAATCATTTACCTCCGTTACTAATACAATGCGGAGATTCTGAAGTTTTAAGAGATGAAATTATATTATTGGTTAATAAAATAGAAAAGACAGGCACAACATTTGTTCAACACGAAATATACGAGGGTATTTATATTCTTGATTGGTTCTCTTTTTATTCTCATCGATAGTCTAAATGTAATTAGAATCCAATCATTTTATGATAGATATGATTCATGTATTCCAAACATTTGGTTTTCTGGAGCCTGCTCAAAAAGCAGTTGACGCCGCTGGTTACTGGGTTAAGAATGTCCTACCATTACATCAAAAAAACATTAATCTGCTTCAGAAGACATCGCATTCAAGTACATTTTCAGGACCTTTGATTTCGAATTCCTTATATAGAGACAATTTAAGATCGACACAATCAACTCCCACAATGCTTGTAACTGAGGATACTGCAAGTTTCGAAGACGAAGTCGTTCTTTTAGAAGAAGCCACACATCCAGAAGAATCACCGAGCGAAGAGAATAATAAACTAAGTGGAATGATTTTCTTTGGACCATCGGAACCATTACCTACTAAATGTGACAAATCCACTTCCACCGAGGAAGATGGTATTACCATCGCACAAACGAGAACATCAAGTCCACTTATAACGTCCAACGAGGAGGATGAATTCAAACAAGATCATATTAGTTTCAGACCTCGAAGACGTTTCCGATCTTCTAGTCATCCCGAATTACGACAATTATATACAATGTTTGTGCAAAATATGCCTACTCCCGAAGTATGTTCGAAAAATTCAGAAATGTGTGATGACCATAATCCACAGCAACAATCTAGTACCAAAAAAATGATTGACGTTGCCGTGGGTTCTTGATATGATTTGCATGTACCGAAAGTAAAAATCGGTATAGGTCACTTTATTTAGCCAATCACATAAAATATGTGAGGCTCAAAAAGAAATGATAGGTCATGCTATGAATTCTCTTGATCATCATTTAAATATTTGTTGGGTAAATAGTAGGTTATTCGTGATCCCAAGGAATAATTGACATCATCATCATCATATTATTATTATTATTATCACTGCTCTTGTTTTTATTATCGTTATCATCATCAAAATGATTTTTATTATCAGACATTTGATGCTTGACATTATATTTCAGTGATTTTTGCATATATTTTATGCTGATATCATTACGTGATAGTATTTAAAATTTGGTTAATGATTTTAATGATTTCCATGATAAGGAAACGTTTATGGATTAGGCCTAGTGTTTCGAATAGTTCGCCCAATTTGATCTACAAAATGTTTCCAAATTAGGGTTTCGGGATTTGTAGGCGGATTTTGAAAATAAAAATTTATGGGTGCATCAATTAACTCGTTTCTAGCAAATAAATGAGCCAAAGAATTTCGCCTCGGAAATATTCTTCATTGTTTTTGTTTACTTGTAAAAAGGCATTTTCATGACCGAAAAAATTCTTGCAAATTCGCAATCAAACATTTATAAAAAATTAATCTCAAATTTTTTTTTATTATGAATGATGAAAAATGATGATGATTGTGGTTTTTGTGAAATGTTTGTATGCATGTACTATTTTTATTAGTAATAGTGAATGTATTGTGAGTGTGTATGCGTGATTGTATTTGTTTATGTAAAGTTTAGAAAAAAAGACTCGCCAAAAAAAAATGAATTATGTACTAATATTTTGTGAAGATTATTTAAGAATAATATTAGCCCAAGCAAAACCAAATTAACAATTGAAAAAATTAACAATTGAATAAACTAATAATTAAAAGGTGTATGGTAGTAATTAATTAAAAGGGAAATATATAATGAGGAGAGCAATAAACATGGGCAATCAAGGGGATTAGTATGCCTATAACAGTTTACCTTGAAAATGTTAGTCAGCAACACTCGGACAAAAAAGTGTACATTAAAAAAAAAAAAAAGAAAAGAATGTAGTAAGTGTGTATGTATTATGTATTTATAAGGGGTGGGTGTATATTAAATTAACCAAAGTATGTAAGTATATAATTTTGTGTTTTGCTTTGGTGGATAAACAATCAGCCAATTAAACAATTAAAACTAAAAAACAAGAGAAGAAAGATATAAATTAGTGGTATTAATTCTATTATTCTCTTAAAAAAAATGGGGTGGTGGAAATCTATATGTATTTATTAAATGGAAAAATTAAGATATTCGACAAGTAAGTGCTATAGAAGTGATGTAATTTTGTGCGCGATGTGAAATAGTTTATTGAGGGGGTGGTTGATCAATAAGTGGTTAAATTAAAATTAGTCGGTTGGTGGAAAAAAGTTAGCGGCGTTCCAGCATCGCGAAAGTTCTTTTTCGCCAGAACGAAATTGAGAGGATAACAATTAAGGGGGTTTGTATTATTCACAGAATAACATGGAATCGCACGCTTTACTAAAAACTCCACTGTACCAATCTACATGTGTGAAGATTCGGGTGACAAGGAATAACCAGGCATATGACCGTTCATGTCCAGAATTGCGGCTTGATATGGTGGAGATGGATAGAATTTTTGAGTTAGAGAATAAGGATCACTACTATACATTCCAATATCGCCATGCACTAGAAAACAAATGGTAATATCCAAGATAAATATAAATATCCAATAAGCAAAAATAATTGAATAAATAAATAAATAAATAGATAAATGATAAATGGATGGATAGATACAGATAGAGAGATACAACGAATTAAATAGAAAAAAATATACAATAGTATAATAATAAAATAAAAATTATTAATTCATATGAAGAATTAAAACTTACCAGGGCTATCAAAATTTAAAGGGATACCAGTAGCATCATTCATCGGATCCAGTGAAGGATGCAATTGAAGTGATGAGAAATCAAAGTTAGGAGGAAAGCCGGTATCGAGCATATATGTTAATTCTGATTGATCTTTAGATGAAAAAAGAAGAATTTAGCAAGGTGATATTTTAAACCGTAAAAATCAAAGAAAAACCAAACAGCTAAATATGTTTATAGTAAATTAATAGTATACATACTATCATATAAACATGAATGTTGTTGGCTTTCATTAATATTTTGACTTTGTGCACCCGTCTTACCGGTCATTATATCTGTTGAATCCATGTCGTATTCGTCATCCAAATTACCGTCACTGTTTTCGTCATCATCAGAACGGACTTCTTCGGATTTTATGATTGCATCACTTATAGCAGTTGCTTGCACATTGTTTCCATTTATATAATTACAATTATTATTAATATTATTAAGATTAATATTATTAATATTATTATTGTTACTAATGGTGGGATTAGGTGTATTAGTAGTAGAAGTGTCGGTATTGGTATTATCAGCTTCACTTTTTATATCGGTATTAGATGATATTGCGTCCTCCTTCGCATCATCTGAAGGTGAAAGGTTATCTTCACGTGGTGGGAGAGGTTCCAGTCCGAGTTGCTTTCTAAGTCTATCAATCTCCTCCCGTAGTGAATCGTTTTCACTTCGCATTTCTCGTAAATCTTTCTCGTGCAATTCATCTTTTTGTTGAGCAAGGATAATGAATTCTAGGGATTTTTGCACGATGATCGATTTCGATGGTCTGCGAACTTGCGCTAAGGAAGGAAGAGCATGGGCAAGATCTTGAAATTTACTATTTAGACACTCCCGTCGTGCGCGTTCGACGGCATTGTGGTTTGCTCTTCTTTCCGCAGAGTTGGTATTCCTTATGATTTAATGGTTAAGAAACGAATGAATCATCGGTTAGTTAAAAGAAATAAAGGAATTTCACGTAAATTGTAAAATGAAATAAACAATAATACATACTTTTTGGAAGCGTTCGCTACTAGGGAAGGTGCAAGTAGATAAGGAGAGTTGGAGGTGATGGTGGGCAAGGTAGTCGAGGAAGGAAAGAAAAAGCTTCGGTTAGCATTCATGTTTATATTTCCTTTAGAAATAACGGTGAAATAAAAAAATCATGTATAAGTTAAAGAGGGAAAAAATAACGGGAGCTTGCGAGGATGGGATTGTGATGTATATTTGGAAAATAAAAATTATACTTTCGTATGGTTATCGTTATATAATGAATATTTAGACTATTCTATTATTGTAGCTTGACACCCCTCAAAAGAAAAAAACACCAACCAAAAAAATAATAAAATATTTCATAACGACAAAAACAGCAATTAAATAGGCCAAAAATATATAGTCATATATGGTATAAAAAGCTTACCCTGAGGAAGTTGAAATGTGGAGAAGGTCGGCATTCGGCTGTTAAGGGCGTTTAAGGAAGGAGTTGGGAAGCTGATAATTGTTCCACCGTTGACAGTCCCCATTTTGTTTTTTTATTGGCTGATTGTTATCGCTTCAGAACATACAAAGGGAAGGAGGAAAGCCTTAAAAACGCCGAATGCCTATAGAAGAGGGTTGGATTTATGGTGTGAAGGCCGGTTCAGCCAGTGACACAACCAAAGAGAAAGTGGGAAAAAAAGAGAAAAAAATTTACAAGAATGTCGAGATAAGAGGAGAATGAATGCCAAACTAGGTTTGTGTGGGAGAAGTTGAGCTTTTATCTAGAATGTGCATGTATTTGTATGCAGTTTACTCATCAATGTGACACATTAGCCGACATTCTCGCCCGTAGAATAAGCAATCTGAAATGAATAAGAATATTGGGTGATTATACAGGTACTAACCGAATGTACTAAAGAGAATAAAGATGGTGAAACATTGAATCCTTTTTTTTTACAATAACATTTATTAGAGAGCAAAAAAGGATTTTTTGTAAAAATAGTATTAACAAAAAATAGATAAGCTTGATAAAAATGTAAGTATTAAACGAAACGTTGTACAGCATTATTTTATTAATCAATTAAAACAATTTTGGCGAAATTAAAAATAGAATCGGGCGAATTTTGGGAATACACAATACGTATATATATTAGGGTAAAGACGAGAGAATATTATTGTTCTCGCCGAATAAACAAACCATCGGTCAAATTTTATTTCAAGTTTATTTTTCTCTTAACAGAAATCGTAAAATAAACCGGAGAAATCCTGCTCTGCAGCCGAATAACTTCCATTCGCTGATGGGTTGAATATAACCAGCTCATCCACTCAAAAGTAAATTTACTTGTTATACTTGTTTGATAAAAAAAAACGCGAAATTCATCTTCGTCATCGTCATTAAAATTCGTATTCGTTTCATTTATACGAGTAAGAAAGGCATATTGTGTTTATAATGCATATCAAATCTCGCCATATACAGGAATTGATCGTTGATTTTCATCCAATAAAAAGAAAATAACAAATAACGAATAAGATGAAAAATAATGTAATAAAGAATTGAAACAATTGAAACAGATACATACAATCAGCATCATAATAAACTGTTTCAAATCGTTTACAAAGGGAATGCTATAATTTGCGCATAAATAAAACATTTTTTCATATCATAATTATCAAAACGCATCACATCAAATGATTAATATCTGAGCGCGAAAAGCAACGGCGTATTTTTGATCTAATTTCAAAAAAAATAACAGGGAAAAAATAAATGCAGCCACTGATCACAACTTTTATTAATTTGTTTCATATATTGAGAAATCAAAGCACCCATTATAATACCGTAAATATTATTGACTAATCCAAGTCCAAGGTTGGGAACAATGGGCTTTAAAAGAAAATCTAAGCAGTATCTAAGCAGTACGTAATTTGTCATTTTCAGCAAATTAATGTCATTTCCACCAATTAATGATTTCTCTAACAATATCATCCGAGCAGAATCTCTTGATTTAAATTATAACAAGAATATTGAAGTTTAAAAAACATTATTATTAGTTCTAGAAATAGAAAGAGCGACAAACAATAATACATGCATATTGTTTATTTTTGCACAAATGTTCATTTTTTTTGTGTACCAAATTTTAATAAAATTATTAAATTTATAATTGGTGCGAATTAATAATCGTTATCATCGAACTCGATTATTTATATTCGTTGTTTTTATTTGTTTTAAAGTTTAATTTTATTTTCAGCGTCATGTATTTTTATAAATGACAGTAAATTAACTTTCTCCACAGAAAAGGTTGCTTCAGAAGAAAGTCTCATCAAAGATTCACTTTCTGAACAATGGATATTCTCTGCCATCGCATGCCTAAAATTGCGAAGTATGCACGTGTGTATTGAAATATCTTCAAAGAAGTTTTCTGTATCATGAATCACAACTTTCGTTCAATAACAAAAAAAACCCGATAAAGTTTAGATGTCAAAAATTGGAAAATTTTTAATTTGTTCCATGGTCCAAACTACTCTACCTGACTTGTGTACCCAAGATCCATTTTAGTACCTAGGCATAAATCAAATTTCAGGCCTCAAAAGCACTATAACACGAGTCAATCAATGGTACTATATATATTTTTGCATCGGTGCCAACTATTTTGACTTGGATTTAAAATAGAATACCACACATGGTACTTGATCTAAAAGAAATATGGACGAAAATCTCATTTCACACATATACTTATAAAAATGCTTAAAAATATACTGCATACCAGTACAGTAGTAGTTATCGTTATTCTTTTGTCAGACAAGGTGAGAATCCCAAATCTTAATATAGTTTCCCGTGCACAACAAGGTTAATCTTACCGATTTTAGAATTTTAAATTACAGTAATGCGAATCGGCATTATAAATTGGGCCACGTTGGCATATATCAATGTCTGTGTGCATCCAGTCAAAGGAACATGCAATAGAATTATTCCAAAAAAAAATATGTAGGAAAACTTATTAGCTATATTGAAAAAAAACTCTTCAGAAAAACCATTTCACCATAACGAGTTTTGACTGTGCATATATGAAATTGATCTCTTTTATAAGACATGGATAACGCGATCCTTAACACGTGGATCCCGTTAATATTTTAAACTTTTACCCCGCATTAGTATTGTTTTAGAGGTTCTGATTAGAATGTAAAAAAATCACTCAACAATAACTCAAATATCCTGAAAACGTGGTTTCATCAAGATTTTCGACAAGAGTTGCTAAGAACCGCCGCGACAAATTGAAATTATCAATACAAATAAAAAGGATCAAGTGTTGAAAAAGACGATGATTATCTAATCGATAATTTATAATGCTAACTATAATTTTCATTGAAATCTGAAATCATGTGATTTTGACTTTCAAAGAACTCCATTGAAGTTTAAAGAAAGTGAGCATTGCAATATCGAAAGCGGTCACACAAAGTCTGTTATGTCCTTTTTGAATATCCGCTTTTAAATAGACCAAGACATTTTCTCATCAATTGCATATTAAAAAATTTCTTGGAATTTCTCGAGTACGTAAATTTTTCGACGTGGTATTATTAATTGTGGCAGATCATACCGATACATCTTTCTAGATCGCTCGAGTCATTGCTGATCAAAACATTACATATTGAGATGTTCTTTTAACCTATGTCAGCAAAAAAGAAGACAAAATTTCATCACCCTGTGAGTTGCACTCAATATAGCTTCACTTCGTTAACTACCTCTGGATTTCCTCTATATGGGCAACCAGCAGTCAACTCTAACATTATCTTTCAGCCATTAATTTTGAACAGCCGCCAATTAGCTGAATATTATACCAATCATTACAATACCACTACTATGGATTCATCAATCGGGTATTTAAATAATTATCCACCCCCTGCTCAATTTGCTCAAATTTCGCCTTATGTCCAAGCTATTCCTTGGAGGAATTGTGTCGAACAAACTATATCTCCATCTTCAACTCACGCGAGTCGACCAACTTTATCCGAGGATCCATTCATTGTAAATCAAGAATATATTCCATTCGAGAATGACAAAAATCAAAAGAAACGGAAATTAAGTGACAAAGAATCGCCAAAATTCGTTAACCCTCAAACGATTCCTTGGGTGAGTGGATGGATTCTTGATGATTTTACTAAGGCTATCTATATTCTGAATCAAGAGATGCAAGATTTTGTTGATTATATATCACCTCGGCACGAGGAACGGCGCATGCGTCAATACGTAATTCGACTTATTGAACGAGAATTCGGAGGCGATAAAATTGCTATCTTGGCTTTTGGAAGTTTTGATACAGAATTATATTTGCCTACAAGTGACATTGATCTCGTTTTCTTTTGTAAATCTACAGATATAAGAAAATTAGTACACTCCTATGCTGCAAAGATTCGTAGGGTAAATGAATTAGTGACTAGCGCAAAAGATGTCATTCCAATTGCCAATGCCAAGGTACCAATTGTCAAGTTCACAGAGAAACACACAAAATTTAATGTGGACATTTCGTTTAATCAAGGATCGAGCATTGAAACAGGAAACATGACAAAATATCTACTAAATCGATATCCTGGTTCAAGAGAATTGGTGCTGACTGTTAAATTCTTTTTAAAGCTAAATGGATTAAATGAACCTGCAAATGGTGGAATGGGAAGTTATACAGTCTTGTTGTTGGTAATTTCTTTTCTGCAGGTAATTTGTCATCAATGTTATTTCTATCGTGTCATCACTTTTCTTCTTGAGATATATTTTATTTACCAATTATAACTTTGAAATGCAGCATCACAAATTATCACGAACCAATCGGATTAATGCTCGACAAAATCTCGGGGTATTGCTGATCGATTTTTTTGAGCTGTATGGCAACAAATTCAACTATCAAGATCTAGCGATATGTGTAAAGTCAGATGGTGATTACCTTCACAAGGCAGAAACTTTAATTCCAACAAACAAGCCAGATATGCTCGCCATAATAGATCCCTGCAACAATACAAATAACGTTGCGAATGCCACATCCAACTGGAAATTGATCCGCGATGAATTTGCCGAGGCCGCAAGAAAACTTAGAAAGGCTGTCATTAAAGTACAAGATGGATATTTTCTCAAACGTTCTAATGAACCAGCTAACTTTTCTATACTAGGAAGCATCGTTAGTGTGAGTAATGGGTGGCAAAAGGAAAGAAATCACATTATGAATATTTACAACGATATTAAAGCCGGTCGAATCAACTCGTTTTCTCCTTTGGAAAGAGGAAATGAGTTGGACTACGTGTTTTCTGATGAGCATTTGCGCGTAAAGGTAGCCAATATAGAGAATGTATATGAAGGATATATTCAGGCTGTCGTTGCTCAAAGGAATGTGCGCAGATACTATCGATAAAGGCTCAACATCTGATGCTATTTACGTATTATTCCTGCTTACTAATATATTATAAAAGTAGTAATTGTATAGTTTTCAATGATTTGCAAATATGCATTGTGATGTAATGTAAGTCATGTCATGTTCGATAACGTCAATATACTTTCAAATTTATTTCATTCTTTTAACGTTAAAATAAAGATGGCTTCTTTAGAAGCAAAACCAAAAAGTATTTTAAAGAAACCTTCCATTACTTTTCAATCAAAAGCCCCAAGGTAAGATTGCTAGTTGCTTTGATCAGAACTTGCAAAGGTGGTAAAGTTCACGCTTATCTTTTTAGATTAAAATGGGACGAAGATAACCTACAACTTACAGAATCTCAGAAAGACTCGACTATGAAGATTTCAGAACCAAAGACTCCTTTCATTCATTATAATCAGGAAACCGACGAGATTATGACCGACCTTGACAGTATGTAAAAGAGATAGATCGTTTCTTACGAGATTTCCTGCTATGATGCAAGTCTAATAACTTGTGAATTTAAAAGCCATTCCTGGACTAGCTTTGAACACTAGTGGCATTTCGCCAGTGGGGTCTGTTTCTTCGGTTTCCTCTTCTGGAGCACATTTTCCTGATACAATCAAAGATGATTGGGAATCCGAGAATTCAGAAGAAGATGAAGAAAGTATGTAATGTCTATGAATAACTACGTTTTGTATAAGGTCATTATTGAGAATGAGAGTCTGAGTCAAATTTACTTTTATCTTGATTCAGCACGAGAAAAACGTAAAAAGTTTGCACAACTTCGAGCTCGTCATTATAATATGAAAGAGGCCATTCGATTAGGGCATAAACTTGTCGATGAGGAAATTGATGATGAGGACAATAATAATCAAAATAATGGAAAGAATCGATCAAAAAAAGAGGGGAAAAAATCAGTCGCATTCTCATTGATCGGTGAAACCTCTACACATACATATGAAAAAGATGTGGTGGGAGAGGAAGAAGTGAAGGAGGAAGACAAAGATGAAAAAAATAAAGAAGAAAACGGACTAATTTTGATGGAAACTTAAGATTAACGATATTTATTGGATTAATTCACTGACTTTATCTTTGATACATATATTCAATTCATTTTCTGCTTGCGTTTTATTATTGTAAATACTGGTATGTGTTATTTTGTCTTTATTATTATTCACAACCAGATTTTGGATCTTTTGGTGGGAGTTAGGACGTAATTTGGCAACATTAAGAGTCATAGGTGGACATTGACATTATTATTGTCATAACTTTTGCTACATATCTAAAATACTTGTTGTAAACTAGGAACTCCCTACTTTTCAAGTAAGACAAATCATATATAGATGATTTTGTATTTTGTTATCAGAAAGTCGTTGCTTTTACAGAATATGGCGTGGATAACTAAGCACGTGAATATAACGCAATAAAATTTTGTGATAAAGCTCTAAACCCGATTTATGTCGATATTTACAGATTTACCTTACTTCTGCTAATTATTAATTAAAAATCTTGAACAAAAAATCTTCGCTGACGTACCATTTGCACAATAACTTTTAGAAATGTCTGCACCAATACAATCTGCTCTTCTCCTACGAAAACAATTGAAAGGTAAACTCTTTCTTTAACAATAATCGATCGTGCATTTAATATCCTAGCAATCCTGACGTCGCGTATTATTTCATTGTTAATGCTAGAATTGACTAAACACCCTGTGGAAGGCTTTTCAGCTGGACTTGTCGAAAATGATAATATTTATGAGGTATTAAGTCATTTCGTAAAAGAAACATCGTGTCACTTTATTGCTTTACACACGTGACTGACAAAATACTTTAAACAACGTCCAAAATAGGTAGAAGTATGAGAAAGAATAGATTTAAAGCTAACGCAGCGCATAATATTTACTCATTGTGTTTTATTGTGTTCCCATAGTGGGAAATTATAATTCTAGGCCCACCGGATACTCTTTAGTAAGATGTTCAAAGTTTTCATTTTAATCTTTTATCATCACCACCAAACCAGAGATTAAAGAATGATTTGAAATGATTTTCATAGCGAAGGAGGATTTTTCAAAGCAAGAATGACATTCCCAAAGGTAAAAGAAATTCCTCGATTATTTTTTTTAGACCTGATCGATCCAGATTGACTGACTGAGACTTCTGTGTTTTAATGCAGGAGTATCCATTGATGCCTCCAACATTGAAATTTATTACTGAAATGTGGCATCCGAATGGTACGCATAAAAAAATGCAAATAATTCAATTCTACGGTTCAGTCTAATGGTTTTCGAACTTCATTTAATATAGTGTATCCAAATGGAGATGTTTGCATTTCGATTTTGGTTAGTGTTATTTATTAAGCCTTTTTACGCAAATACCAAATTACTCGTATTGATGATCGCTGAATTACGCCTATCCATGTCATGTAGCATCCTCCAGGTGAAGATAAATATGGCTATGAAGATGCAGGTGAACGTTGGATGCCTGTGCATACAGTTGAAACTATTCTGTTGAGTGTAATTTCAATGCTATCAAGTCCCAACGATGAATCTCCTGCCAATATTGAAGCAGCCGTAAGCATTGAAGAATTAATCATTGCAATTTTTCTTGAATAATAATTTAACTATTGAATTAATTTGTTTTTTTTTTTCAGAAAGAGTGGCGGGAAGATTATCCTGCTTTCAAAAAACGTGTGCAGCGATTAGTTCGACGATCTGCCGAAACGTTTTAGATGGCCGTCTTACGCGTATACGAATTCTCAACTCTTTCATAAACAATAAACAATGGAAGAAAATGTGCGAGATCATTTTTTGCTATCCCAACCATCCACCAGCACCTAATTATTAATCTTCTACACTACCATTTTCTAGATGCTTATATTTTATCCGTTTTTAACTAGTTCATTAGTAGAATATAATGAATAATCTATCTAATAGTAATCATAATGACAGCAACAACAACTAGTTATTTATATAAGAAATTTTTCTTTTCACTTCCAAAGATTATGTAATCCTCAGCTTTACATAGTTTCTTGGAATTCTTTATTTTTGAATTTTCTAATTCATGTTGTAATCCACAAATAACAATTAATGTATATTAGACAGAACCAAACGCAATATCGATATGCAAATTTGATAAACTATCACTTTATCTTGCTTATTGTATTATACGTATTTGATGTATTACTCGAGAAACTAACTATTTTTGGATTTTTGTCAGCATCATAAATCATTTAACTCTCGATTCTTGACTGTTCAAAATGGCTTTCTTCAAAACTATTAATACCCGCGCAGAGTACGAAGAGCTGTTGTCTTCAGCTCATCCCAACAAATTGGTAGGCTATTACTTTCACTTTATTAAATTGATATATTCGTGTTAATTTGTTTCATTCCCATTAGGTGGTGGTTAACTTCCACGCTACCTGGTGTCCGTCGTGTCTTGCTATATCACCCGTTTATCAAAAGCTTAGTACTCAGTATAGGCACGTTGCTTTTGCGAGAGTAGGTTGACTGTCTTGTAGGAACAAGAGAGGAATTATTACATGTGTGAACTTAATTGCATTTTTCTTTAAAGGTTGATGTCGATGCTAACAAGGAGACGACACAACTTGCAGGGGTGACATCAATGTATGTTTTCGATGCATTTTTCGGATTGCTAATTAGTACGAGTAACCAATTATATTTTACAGGCCAACTTTCAAGTTTTTTAAGGGAGGCAATGAAATTTTAGAGGTGAAAGGTGCAAATCAAGGAGCTCTTGAAAGACATGTAAAGCAATATGCAGGAACTCCAGAAGAGAGTGGCTATTCATTATTAACTGTTCAAGGCCATGTACGTGAATGAATGGATATACACACATATATATATTTTTACTTATTTATTTATAGCGAAATTCTTGATAAAAATCTAATTATTACTTCTTATAGAGCGACATTAACGAATTCATCACCTTAAACCAAATTGACTGCCTTAATCAACAAACAAGTCATCACGTTCGGCATATTTTTACAAAAGACGACTCTTATCTGGAATCTGACGTTGATGAACAACTATTGATATCGATTCCATTCAACCAGTCTGTGAAACTTCATTCACTAAAAATTACAGCAAACGATATCGGTGGGTTTGATAGAAATTGTATTTCGAAATTTTGATAGTTTGAGTGAAACTTGCAAATACTTCTCATTTTAGAACACGCGCCAAAGACAATTAAACTTTACGTGAATAGGATCAATTTTGGCTTTGATGAAACTGATTCTATCGAGGAAACGCAAACGTTGGAATTGACTGAAAAAGATTACGAAGAGACTTCCGTAATCCCGTTGAGATTTGTCAAATTCCAGGCTGTGACAAATTTAGTGGTGAGTCATGTGTAAATCTTGACTTAATTAAGTCCTCGATACAGTAACTATCTCTTAATTCATATGCAAATTTGAAAAAAAAAAAGTTATTCGTACAGGATAATCTTGGCGATGAAGATACAACAATCATCAAGAATCTTGTGTTTATAGGGTATAATCACTTTGCATATTTGTTACTCTTATCTACTTAGCCCAACGGGTTACTCATCTCAATCAATTTTTAGGTCTCCGGTTGAAACAACCAAGATAGAAAATCTTAAAAAGATGGACGAAAGTTCTTGATCATTCGTATGCTGCTTGTACCCCTGGTTTTGATTAAAAAGATTTTGTACGAGTCCAATTGGTTAAATATGATTCTAATAGATCCAGTGCTGTGATATATTCCTCTGGATTAGGTATATCGATATTACATAATTATAACATTGGGTTACCAATACTTGATGAGTAAAAAGATTTCAGTTCTAAACCTCGTTGAAAGAAGCATTAATCAAAGTTCACTTTACATTTGGATGTCATGAGAAAAATGCAGGATCGTTTCTAAGGATACTTGCACAGAAGATAAATTTCTTTATCTTATTGAATCCAGACTGATTGTTCATTGTTATCAAATCGATAAATGAAATGAAATATTAATTAAAGAATACAAAGAAAAAATTAAGATTATCATTGCTTTGGTAAATGTGGTAAATATGGTAAATATGATAATTACGATAGCAAAAGAAAAGAGGATTGCTGAAAAGGTTAGTCGATAACCGTAACAATGCGTAATCGTAACAATGCATAACGATAATAATTCTATATCGAACTGTACAAAGACTTATCGCCGCCGTTTCTGACTCATATTGCAATGAAAGACCAAAGAAAAAACTAGATTTTTCTTGGCTTTGTAAGTGTAAATGAGCTGCTTATGGAATAGCTCAATCTATTGGAGTAAAACTTACCAAATATGTATGGTGCCCTGAAACTTTTCATTTAGCTTAGATTAAACAAAGTATACGTATTGATGCATAATAAGTATGCTTGATAATCGCGATCCGTGATTACATGCGTATGTAATCGTACATATTTGATATTTGAGATAGAAGAATCATACTCTTATTTGTTTCATACTTAAGAAAAATTAGTGACACCATTACCATTTCGAGAAAAGTTTGTCAATTACTGGTAATTATTAATATTTGAACTGCGTAATGACAAAATCTTATCTGATGATGCCATATTATGATAACAATATTGACGATTTAACTTTTTTACACATAGCGCGAAAAAATCACCGTTTTCTATATTGGTGATGCAGGAATTTTCTTTCCATATATGTGTTTGTATGTGTATTATATTACAAAGTTTTTGTTATGCATGTTTTGAATTTCGCAAATGGTCGAGATGAAAGTTTGTACATTAATTTTGTGACCATTGTAAATTTTCAAATTTTGTTTTTTGAAAGAATTTTTGGCTATAATTCATTAATGTTCATAAAGCCTAAAGAAAAAAAAATAATAAATTACTAGCATGGTAAATTTTTAGTGGAAGATTATAGTTTGCTACGTCTTCTTTTGTGATTAGAAAGTTGACCATGTCCAATCTGGAGGGATCGCAGGAACCTGCTCGTTGCATTGAGTAGCAAGTGGTCGTCGGGATTTTGTTTTATTAATATCTGATTCATCTTTCCGAATACTTCGATAACGATCAGTGTTTTCGTAACTACCACCACTTTCGCTACCACTCGAGGCGTAATATCCACTATCTCTATGTCGCGAATTATGTCCATAAATTTCGAGTTCTTCAAAATTTCGGTCAGCTTTTTTACATTTATTCAATAGTCGAACGTATTCTTCGTAACACCTATCACAAACTCTCGAGGCAGACCCAGCCAAGTTAAAATTTGAATTTTGGTCCAGGCGTATATAATGCGAACAATGGGTACCGCAAAAAATATCGCCGCATCTATTAATTTATAAATAGAGAATAATAATCTTTTAATAACAGTATATTCTATTAATTTCAAGTGTATATAATAGGGAATGAGTACAAACTTGCGACAATGGTGTCTTCTTTCGAATAAACCGAATTCTCGGGGACAACATGCCATCGAACATTTTATTGCTGCTGAGTCAGGCTAATGTCAAGAATAGAAAGAATATAAACATGAAAATCCGTGAAGGATGTGAACGTATTCATTAAATTCAATCAATAAATTCTAACCTTCCAATGATCTTTAGAGGGTGGACCAGTCGCAAGACCCGAGAATAGTACCTCAGCATCGTCGGCTTCTTTACCCATATTTTCTTTTCCGTATAAATAGGCATAACCGCCAAGGTTTCTTCCTCGATTATAACCTGGTGCAACATTTTTTGAAAGTGTAGTCGGTAGGTGGTGTCTCTGTTGAATTTTTTTTGGCTGCTGCTGCTGCTGTGGTTGTTTTCGGTTTTCAAATGGGTTATTTCCCATTGTTAAGTGAGTAGGTCTTTTTGGGCAAGCTATGTCACTGATAAACATTTGAAGAAAAAATGTATATATTATTCGCAAAAAGAGACGCGAAAATATATACAAAGGATAATATTTGATAAGGATTTTTTTATTTTTGAGTCGATAGGCTAATTTTGTCGTGAGAGTTCATCATTAAATAACGCATTTTTTGTGTAATAGTCCGACATGTATAATTTTATAATAATCAATATATATATTTATTTTCACCACTAAAAAAAACCTGATTTTGCGACACCAATAACCAACAGGAAACAACGAATGGATGAATAATACGTATAATACGTGTATCACCATAGATTATCTACAAACAGGTATTTGTGTATGTATTTACTGGAGCAATTTCTTGATTTTCAAAACGATGAGATGATCTTGTTCAATTTATTTAACTAATGTAACTATGCCTTATACACGATTGACTTATTATGCGTTAAATAGTAATACTTTATACACGATTGACTTATTATGCGTTAAATAGTAATATATATATATACTTTATTATCCGCATATTTACAGTGATGCAATTCAACATTATTATTAGATGACTAATTCCCCCCCCCAATTAATTGTATAGAATACGAAATGCAGGTTTCTTTTAAGAATCCGCCTCTTAATAAAAAAAGGAAAAGAAAGAAAGAATGGGGAGACACAAAATATATTAGCTTTAATTTCTCACCTAAATTCCCATCGATATCTATTGGCACGTCGATTTTTAGTAAAATCTAATGCAACTCGAAAACACATACACCCATGAGTGAGCACTGTATGTTATAAACGGCTAAATGCACTCTAATTGAATAGGAAGAGAAGTAGTGATAAAGTATACATTCAAAACTGGTAATAATATGTAAACGTTGTTATCTTACAGGTAACACAATCATTATACGGAAAGAGACTAAATGTATTTTATCATTTGATCACTTGGGCGATGACGCAACTTGACCATTAAAAAATTTAGAAATTTTCTTTGTTTCTAAAACATGTCCTTTGTAAACTAAAACGTCCCTGATGGTTTATCCAATATTTTAGTCTTTCGAAATCAAGGAAATTCTTACGCGTAAACCGAAATTCTTCGCTCTTTGACCACCTCGTACAAATAAATTTATCTTGTTCATAACTCGTTTTTTTTTTGTTAAACGCACAGTCACCGCCCGACTTGCTAATAATAGTTCGATTTAACAGGGATCCTACGACCGTGGTAAGTTTATTAAGACATGCAATTTGTCTGATAATTGATAAACAAATCTGTCGCAGTAAATGTTTACGTACTTGCTTCTGCTATCTTTTTACTCACCTGTACCTCCGCATGAATATTTATAGAAAGGGAGGTATACAGGGTTGTCTACTGGACTTGGTCCAGTACTGCGCCATTGGACCACTGGACTTCTTAATCCGATAGAATAATTAACGTTAAGGTTAAGGACTATTTTATCATTCAATTTTATAATTAAGAAGCTTATCGTTATTGAATTTATAGCATATAATCATTTTGATGAGTTTTCTTCGAAATTTTTTCTGTAGCGTATTACGACATGAATATTTGAAAGTGAGAAAAATAGCTTTTAATTTTAATTATCATAGTTAAGAAGTTTATCGTTATTGAATTTATAGCATATAATCATTGATGAGTTGTCTTCGAAATTTTTTCTATAGCATATTATGACATGAATCTTTGAAAATGAGAAAAATATAGTTTTTTGTCACTCACCACACACCCTACAATAAACTGAAATTTTCTCTATAATGAAAATTTTGCTTTTATTAGTAAATATTTTTTTGTTTTTATATCAAAATAAAGCTAGACAAAAATCTAAAATTTTTTTGGATTTCTGGTAGGCGTGCATTTCTAATTACGTATAGTCAATCCTAGTAATCAAAATTTCAATTTATTTAATAAATTTAATTTATCAAGACAGATTATTATCATGGTTTTTAAATCAAATTTGATTTATGGGTTTTATAAAATAGCGCGCTATGAGTGATATGAGTGAGAACTGAAAATATAACCTTGAAATTTTAGGATCTAGGATCCGTTATCCTAATCTTATACTCTTAATAAATGGGGACCATGGCACTATGATACATATGCGATAAAATATAAAAAAAATACTTTAATGTAAATATGAATTTTAATTTTCTAATTTCTAATTTCTAATCCCAATCTAATCTCTAATACAATTAAACATTTCTATAATCTTTATAAATAAAATTACAAAGAAAATTTTTTGGTTTTCATAACATATGACTATGTAAAATGACCCGGCTTTTGATTTTTAAAGTCAAAAATTTTATTAATATATATTAAATTGTCATTTTTGCACAACATAGATGTATATATCGGTCCGGTAACTTCAGGACGTGATGTTTCGCGATTCAGTAAACGAATCGAAGCGATCTAATTATTAGATTTGTCTTAACTAGACAGATTTAATGATGATTAGATCGCTTTAATCCGATCATTGTATCGCGTCCCAAAATTACCGGACTAAAAAATAATTGATTTTTTGACTTTAAAAATAAAAAGCCAGGTCACCAGGTCGTTTCACATATTTATGTGTTGTGAAAACCAAAAAATTTTGTTTGTGTGGCCTAACTAACATTTTTAAAAAGTTTATTATTGGATCTAATATTGTAATTAAATGTCTAATTACTTACATATAAATATTATTATTATACAGTGACAATCAAAAATAATGCAACATCAAAATTTATTAATTAAACATAGTAAAATGCAGGTTTTTCTTTTTATATAAAAGTTTTTAATTTTACTAATAAATATTTTTTATTTTTACATTAAAATAAAGATAATATTA